CATATTATCCCTAATCAGCCTTTTTTACATTGTTAATAATATTTTGAATTTATTTCGTTATAATACAATTTAAAAACAAAACCCACCTCTTACTTTCCTGTGAGTGTCGTAAGAGGCAACCGGTGAATTGTGCTTATTATTTGTTTTATACAAGTTAGAATGGCAAACAAGCTGACGGCCCACCTGATGGAAAGTGGTAACCGTCGCCTATAGACATGAGCAGTACCGTGGACATAATAGAGAATACTGTTTCGCCCATGATACCTCCCATGCGTTGCCATTCCTAAGGAATCAGGTGTTATTCCTCTGTACCCAGTAAATTTACGCCATATCCCACTCTTCAAACCGAAACACAGTCATGCAAACACAACTGCTTCACGGTTGAAACACGAATGGGACAGAGGTATCCAAGCAAATGACTTTTGTACAAAGTCTTTCTCTGATAAATTATTATTTAAGGGCTCCTGTTGATTTCGAAACTAATCGGGCATCTCCGAATTTTAAATTTGAGTAAAGGCGTCATAAATCTTCTTCTTTTTTCTTCTTGTTGTTCCAATTTATTTGAGGTCTGCCCTCCTGGTAGTCCTGCGTCACGCCATACGGTTATGGGTTGTTTGTACCCTTGCGTTTGTATATTTCACGCCATTTTTATTGTTTGCAACCGGATCATTAGTGGTCAACCACGCCATCTTTTTCCTTAAAGTCGACATAAATAATTAAAATATAACTTCACATACCTACTCGTATCTTCGTCATCATCATTTCAGCCATTATCCGTCCACTGCTGGACATAATCCTCCCCCATAGACTGTCATGAAGATCACCTGCACATCCACTGACTCCCTGCAATGCATTTGAGGTCGTCACTCCATCTAGTTAGGGGTCGTCCTATACTGCGTTTGCTCCTCTCATACCTATACCATTTTGTGATATGAAAACTTTAGTCTACCAGCTCTTGCCAGTTGTTTCAATTAAATAAATTTATTCATGTATTTATGGTATGTACATAAAAAAATTAAAATACAAACAAAACAAAAATTATCCATTTGAATTTTTTCAACGGATGAAATAGAAAAAAATGAAAGTTGTTTTTTTTTGGGCAGTGTCACAAATAAACTAAACAAACCATAACGCACTTATTTAAAATTGTTAGCTGTTAATTAAAAATTATTTAAATATAAATATTAATTACTTATAATTATTTATTAAAATTCGATCGCTTTCGCTCATGACTCGTCCCACAAAAACATATCACGTTAAAAATTAACACAGACGTAAAATTTGGTGAAATTGCAAATGAAACGAAAAATATAATTTTGCTTGTATTTTTTAGATAAAATTCTTGCGTTTGTTTTTATGAGCTGATTACATTTTTGTGAATATTGTTGTTTCTAAATAAAATGGAAACATATTTTATTTTTTTATAAAACAAAGAGCAAACAAGCATGCGGCTCGTCTGAACTATTGCCGGCTATGAGTACCCGCAACACCGGAGATATTGCAGGTGTACAACCTTTGTTGTAGGTTACGATATATTACTTTATAGGTATTAGGTATTAAGTCAGCCCTATATACAATATATATAGCTATACCCTATGTATATATATATATATATATATATATATATATATAGCAGAATTGTGAAAATCGATTCATAACTGGCGACGTAATCGTATTGTATATTAAAAAAAAAATTAATAATGTTCTTTATTTAAAAGTTACTTAAAAATATGTACACTTATTTATATCATACTCTTTGTAGAATTGGAATGATGCATATAATTCAAATAAATGTGTGAAGGGCAACTCCTTACCTCTCATGGGACAACTGAAGGGGAACTGCGACGTTTGGTAATTTTATGGAAGCACCGAGCGTTATTCAGCGCAACACTTCCCAGTCTAAATACGTTAAGGTTCGGTATTTATTTTTATTTCTTATAAATCTCATAGTTTTACTTGTATGCTGATTCGATTTGTAAATTAAGACGGTGAAATTCTTCTTCTGTTTTTTTATACAACTTAAAATGGCAAACGAGCTGACGGCCCACCTGATGGAAAGTGGTAACCGTCGCCTATAGACATATAGACATGAGCAGTACCATGGATATAACAGAGTATACTGTTTCGCCCGTGATACCCTCCATGCGTTGCCATCCCTGAGGACTCAGGTGTTATTCCTCTGTACCCTGTAAATTCACGTCATATCCCACCCTTCAAACCGAAACGCAGTCATGCAAACACAACTGCTTCACGTTTGTAACACGAATGGGACAGAGGTACCCAAGCAATCGACTTTTGTACAAAGTCTCCCTCTGGTGACTAGCCTAGCCAGTAGCTCCCTAGCCAGTAGTTGCCAAGCTTGGCGAGCGGGTTGACAACCGCAGTTAGGCTTTGAGGATGTTTTAAGAGGGACACTGCTGCCCTCATGCTCATGCTGCTCATTTATTTCTCATAGTATCTTCTTACGACTCCGACAAGAAAGGGAGAAGTAGCCCATTCTAGGTACACACGGAGGTAAACCCGTAGAATATGACTAGTTTATAATAATGTTGAGATTTAACGACTTCGTAGGCGGAATACTCTCATTCGTACTGCCTGTAGTTAAACGATTTCATGCCAAGATGTTGTTCCTCGTGTACCATTTACATATAATTGGGTAATATAACGATGACATCATGGCATAATCTGCTGGAGAATTATCATAATAAACTCACTCCCGTTGGCAGGGTGGAAGGGATTGTTAGTAACGGGGACTAGCGAACCCTTTGCCAGCAATATCAATAGATTTTCAGGTCGACCTCCATGCGGTTGGTACTGGAAACCATCGTGATTAATTCCAGGTGAATTGAAGTAGACACCGAATTCAATAGTGGCTAAACTAGTTATTTTTTAAACTAATCTACTGAACCGATTTTGATAAAACTCCTATGGAACAAATACGAAAGGCGGGGTTATCATTCCATTATCAGCCATCAAAAAGAAATACAATTTATTGGGGAGAAAAGGGATTGTTATTAATGGGGATTAGCAACTGTTTCTAGCAACATACCCTATCAAGTCGACCTCCTCGCGGTTCCCCCTGGAAACCATCGTGATTTATTCAATGGTGAATTTGTCACGATGCGCCAACTGACCTGTCTTTCTCACTTATCATCCGTCACTGATGCCCTACCAGCGTCTACCGATAGTACGGGCGGGTTACCATCCCATTTTCATCCATTAAAAAAAACTCGTTGGCACTGTAATAAAATATTTTGAGATGCCCTTACCCCTTTTTTCTTAAAAACTGAAACCTAAAACAAACCTATTTTACCAGAGGGAGACTTGTAAAAATATCGTTTGGTTACTGTAGCCTGGACGCCTGCAACACTAGGGATGTCACGTGCGTGTTATCGACTCTGAAGAAACCTTAATACACTCTTTTTGATACTGTCATCTTTAGGAAATACCTTTTTTTTTCATACAACTTAGAATGGCAAACAAGCTGACGGCCCATCTGATGGAAAGTAGTAACCGTCGCCTATAGAAATGAACCGTACCATGGACATAACAAAGTATACTGTTTCGCCCATGATACTCCCCATGCGTTGCCATTCCTGGGGACTCAGGTGTTATTCCTCCGTACCCAGTAAATTCACGCCATATCCCACCCTTCAAACCGAAACACAGCCATGCAAACACAACTGCTATACGGTTGAAACACGAATGGGACAGAGGTATCCAAGCAATCGACTTTTGTACAAAGTCTCCCTCTGGTAAACTTCTGTCTATATCTAAATAAAAGGAGGTAAAATAGGTTGTTATATATAAGAAATAATAATTATTAACAATAAAGGATGTTTAGAGTAACAAATGTTATAATAGTAAATTTAATAGATTTGGCATAATAAAATTATAAATCAACATTATTACATCGACTCAACATTGTTTAATAGGTTAAAACGAGTTTTATTAAACAATGTTTAGATATAAACAGATCGTATATATCTAAACATTGTTTAATAAAACTCAAAAATATTTAAAACACTGCTCGTCTAAGTAGTGTTTAACAAAATGTTGCAAAAGTGATTAAAAACAGTTTAGTTAGTATTAAATTAATATAATTGTTTAATTATAATAAAATTTATTAATTTTAACACTAATCTATTACCTATTTTTAATAATAAAGTTTTATTTACACATAAACAAATGACAAAAGTAAGTTTAAAAAGTGACAAAATTTTGGGTTTACTTAACATCACGGCAGGTTAGGTTTGTGTCAAAAATCTTCGACGTGTTTCGATCCATATTTCTTTGGATATAATTAAAGATTGTGTTTCGCAAAAAAAAAAAACGAATTCAGTTGTGACTAAAGCAATTATTTTGATTTAAAAACTAAAGTGCTGAACCTTTGTATATCCTTTGAAAAAAAAAGAGAATTTTCTAAATAAGTTAACAATTGACAGAGTTATGAGGTAACAAACCTAAAAGAAAACACAACCGAATTGAAGTTAGTGGAAAATGTTCAGTTTAATTAATAGAAAACAGCCCTTGAGATTCTAATGATTTTAATTCCACCCTTTATAGTATATACCCTTTGCTAAAATTCGTAATTCCAAAATTTAATTTAATTAAAACCTGCCTAATATGTAACCTCTCGAGTCACAAATTAGTCTGCTTTCCTTTGTCATACTCGCTATAGAATAGATTATTAATGGATTCGTTTCTATTCCTTGTCTCGCAATTACAACGACTAACTTGTCTTTGTTATCTAAATACGCACATAATTAATTCAAATTTAATTCACTATCAAACAATGGACCAGCGAGCGATTAATTATTTCCCAAACTCATCGACGTTCTATTATGGTTAAACAACAATAGATTACGTTTCTGAACATTAATAAAAATCCGTTCCAGAACTGTTCAGAAAGTAGACTTCAGAATCTGGCACATCGTTCATAGCTAATTGCAGATTTGCCCCCTAATTTGGTAGACAAACGTCCGCTACGTGAGCATTACCTTATTCCACCAACGTTCAAAATGATCCTGTTCTCCCCATCCATTCCTGCTCACAAAAGTTTTTCACACACGTTAAACATTTGAATTTGTTTCACAGCACTATTGTACAATCACAGCTCACCCGTTACGGTCAAATTCGAAAATGGAACGTTGCGTTCGAATTACAAATTTGAACTGTTGCTAATTGTACGCGGTTTAAAATCGAAATTCGAATTAAGCGGTTTGTTGTCGTCGTTGCGCGGGCCCGCTGCGCGAAGGCGCGGGTCTACGTCCGATCCGGACGGCCGACGGTTCGGCACTGGGATGAAACGGGATGATGCGAGATGAAGGGATGGTGACCACCTACCACCCCCCACCTGTGGCCTGCACGCACTGCAGTCGACCTCTTTGCGCCTTTCAAGTTTATGATGAAGCGATTTCACAGATTTTTCATTAATTACATAAAATAAAGCTGCGTTTAGATTTATGTAGAGTTCCTATACCTACTGCGGTGTCATTATGTAGCAACTAGCGAGTTACTGGAGCTTCGCCTACGTGGAATACATTAATCTTGTATTTCCGGAAATTTCTTAAAATTCTATCTTTGAATCTGAGTACAGTCATAAACAAATAGATAGATACGCTTTATTGTTTCCTCCAAAATTTACAATAGTTAATTTATTATAAATATAAACAATTACAAGAAATTATCACAGTGAGAAAACAATGGGCGACCTTATCGATAAAAGCAATCTCTTCGATGCAACCTTTGGATAGAGAGAGTTAATTATAAATTGTATGATCGGAGGCAGAATGAAAAGATGTAATTAATACATGCGCTAATATAAATATATATACCTCATTATTATATACACGTATCTATGTAATTTGGCCCCGGCATAGAATGAGTCGTGGATGTCATAAGAGGCGACTAAAGGATGGCAAGGAATGGACTGCAGCGTCCCTCTTAAAACAAATGTCAAATTTACCAATCCGTCAGCCAAACATGGCAACTACTGGCAAAACCACCCAAAGGTGAAGCTTATATCAGCAGTGACCTATTAAAAACTAATATAATGTTGTATTTGTGCGTGTATATATACATACATAAACACACACACAAAAAAACAAACACACAATTACATATATACATCAAACACAAAGTTATAAAATTTTTAGCTATCTGAAGAAATATGTAAATATGCTAACCAGATAAATAAACAGATTCACAAGATGACAACTTGATCAGATAAAAATCCTTAAGTTTTGTTTTAAAACTTGGCACAAGTTGTATATTTCGTATGAAAACTGAATTATATTTATATAAGATTACAATATGTATAAATATAAATAATAATAATATAAAAAAATACATTTTACATGCAACAAGGAATAGCATATCCTTATTCTAACCTAATTTGTAACGGTCATTTCACGAGTACAATACAAAATTGTCATTGAAACAATCGACTTTTGTACAAAGTGGTGAAACTAGTGGTGGTTCAGGTCGACCTCCTCGCGGTTCCCCCTGGAAACTATCATGGTTAATTCCTGATGGGCTAACTGGCCTGTTTTCATTCTCATCAATCACTCTTCACTGGTGCTCCGTCAGCGTATCCCGTTAGCGCAGTCGGGGTTACCATACCATTTTCACCCATCAAAAAAAAAAAAAAAAAAAAAAAAAAAAACTAGTGGTGGTACTCCCTCTGGTGGTACTTTGGCTCTTAGGTTTTGTTTTCTATTTACTATAATAAATTATGTATGTATTGATTAATATGATTAATGAAGAGCAATATAATGTAGAATATATGTAAAATCACCAGAGGGAGACTTTGTACAAAAGTCAATTGCTTGGGTGCCTCTGTCACATCCGTGTTTCTATCGTGAAGTAGTTGTGTTTGCATGGCTGTGTTTCGGTTTGAAGGGTGGAATATGGCGTGAATTTACTGGGTACAGAGGAATAACATCTGAGTCCTCAGGAATGGCAACGCATGGAGGGTATCATGAGCGAAACAGTATACTCTGTTATGTCCATGGTACAGTTCATGTCGACGACGGTTACTACTTTCCATCAGGTGGGCGGTCAGCTTGTCTGCCATTCTAAGTTGTATAAAAAAAAAATTCATATTATTAATAATTTGCACGCCGACATAGAGGCAGAATGTATATGGGAAATGTAACCTCTTCCATTTAAAACTACCTACATTCTAGCAAAATAAGTTAATTTCATTTCATATAGTTTAATTTTGTACGAGTCGCATGATTCTTTGAACAAAATATTTTTTTTCTTTCTTTCTTTCTTTTCTTTGCATAAATACTCACTACTGATAAGTGGTAAATGTCGCAACAAACTAACAAATGCTATAGACATAACAATTATTCAAATTTCTAATTTTCTGGCCCCATTGAGTACGTCAACGGGCTGTGTTAATCAGAACAAGTACCTTTAATTACTTGAAAAAGAAAAAAGTATCTTTCCTACCAAAACATACGGTTCTAAATATGTTGCTGCGATTTTTTTTTTACCAATTATACAACAATGTATATAACAATGTATCACGCACGATATGTACAGAAACTAGGCATGGGCAATATTGATACCGCTCCAATATCAATATCTATTTATTTTGAGCATTAATGGCGGAAAAAATGGTATTAGTTAGATATCTATATTAATTTCAATCGGGTTCTTTAATTCGACATTAAATATTCAATAAGAGACATTGGTAATGAGGTTTCTTTAGGGTCGGTAACTCACGCGTAATACCTCTGGTATCGCAGGCGTTCATAGGCTACGGTGGTAACCACTTACCATTCTTGTTTGCCACCTCAGTGGTATAAAAAAAGGTCGTTCGTCATGCGATACCACCCCTAGATATCATTATCTTTTTAAATTTTTTTGAAATTATTTACAAAGGGCCAACTGGCCTGGCTTCATCTACCATCCCTCACTGGTGCCCCGCCGGCGTATAAGCACTCCATTCTCATCCGTTAAAAAGTTATTTTTTTATGCAACTTAGAGTGGCTAACAAGCTGTCGGCCCACCTGATGGAAAGTGGTAACTGTCGCCTATAGACATGTGCAGTAACATGGACATATATGTTATACTGAACGGTATGGACTGCCGTTCGGTGAGCGTGGACTGTAGGGACGTTGGTTCAGGCTGGAGTGAAACACAGGGATTACTATTCTGAAGCCTCCGGTACCGTCTGAAGAGAGTATTTTTTCTTCTTGTCCTATTTCTTCTCGAGTGTAGTGTGTCGCTGCCCGGAAGCGAATGCCGCTCGACGAGAGGCGGCCTATCTTTATACCCGCCCGCTCGCACGATAACATTTCCAACTCGCGTTAGCGATCTGTGCGAGCGGGACGGGGCGAGAATGAACGAGACGCGTGTCTCTTCAGATCGGTACTCTATAGCGTCTATTTATTGCAATTTACAATTTCTTAATTCTATTTATTGTTACAATTTCTATTTCTATTCGTAGGTAATAATGACAACACACAAAGAAATACTTTATTTAACTTACACTATCTTAAATCTATGTAAAATCTATATAAAATAACAGAATACAAAACGATTAACTAGGACTTAACAACTATAAATTACGATATATACAAATAATGTCGCGAACATAATCTCCCGCCGCAGCTCTCGTAGCTGGAGTTAACTCGTGTTCGCGTCGCTCGATGTCGATGTGGGCAGTATGATCAGCTTCTTAGTGGGTCGCCGTAGGATGCCCTTGTTCGTCCGCACGTCGACTGCTCGGATCTCGCCGTCTGGTCCAGGGTAGGTCGCCACCACCACGCCTCGCGGCCACGTGTTGCGAGGCAAGGTCCCATCAGCTATTAGGACCAGGTCGTCCATTTTGATGGCTCCGTGTGTAGCTCGGGGCTCCCGCCGGTGTTGCAACTCGGGTAGGTACTCCTTCACCCACCGGTTCCAGAAGCAGTCAGCTAGCCTCTGGCTGGCACGCCACTCCTTGTGTCCCGCCGCGTCGCTCTCGGTGAAGCTGCCTGGCAGTGGGACGCGCGACGGACCGCCCAATATGAAGTGATTGGGGGTTAGGGCGCTGTCGTCGTCTGCCGATGTTGACACGTGGGTTAGCGGTCGACTATTGAGGGTGTGCTCGACCTCGACCAGCAGAGTGTGGAGGACCTCTTCCTTGGGGGCTCGCTCGTTCAACGTAGCGGCTAGTGCGGTCTTCACGCTACGCACCAACCGTTCCCACGCACCTCCCATGAAGGGTGCGCTCGGGGGAATGTAGCGCCACCGGATGAAATGGACTGATGACTCTTCTTGGATGGCTTCCTCGGCTGCTTTCTTCAGTTCGACGTCAGCACCTCTGAGGTTGGTGCCTTGGTCGGACCATAGCTCAGTGGGACACCCTCTGCGGCTTATGAAGCGCCGCAGGGCCATTATGGCGGAGTCCGTGCTGAGGCTGCCGGCGATTTCTAGGTGGACTGCGCGCGTCGTTAGGCAGGTGAAGAGCACTCCGTATCGTTTCTGGTGAGTGCGGCCCACTGTCACGGTCATAGGCCCGAAGTAGTCTAGGCCGGTGAACGTGAACGGTCGTTGATGATGCGCCAACCTGCTATGTGGATGGTTGCCCGTTGATGGCTGCGCCGGTCTTGCTCTTCGTAGGCGGCACAGCTGACACCTCTTCAGTTCACTGTGGACGGCGTGTCGTAGGCGCAACACCCACAAGTGTTGTCGCACCTCGTTCGTGGTGATCTCGAAGCCGCCGTGGTGAAGTTTCCGATGCACCCATGTGATGTATAGGCGCACCCAGATGTGGTTTCCGTCGACGATGGGGGGCTCTCGTTGCTCGGCTGACAAATCGGCGGTGGCCGCTATTCTCGATCGAAGTCGCAGAATGTCGTCGTTGTCTATGACGACCGACAGCTGTATGAGTCGACTGGATGACGGCAGCTGTTTCCCTTGTTTCAATACTGCGATTTCGTCGCCGAACGCCTCTTGTTGTATCGCGCGAATCCATAGCCGTCGCGCGCGATCTAGGTAGCGTGTGTCTATGGGGATGAAACACACAGATGGACTATTGCTGTTCTTGATTTTCATCTTCGTCTTCTCTCTATCGACTTTCTTCGTGCGGGTCCAAGTGGGGTCGGCGCTCTCTTTCTTCTTGTTTCTCTTTCGGATGGCGGTGCAGCGTTGACTGGTCGGTCGCAGGAGGTCGATGAACTGCAACACCCGTGCTGAACTGCGAACAAGTTTCAACCAATTAGAAAAACGTGACGGATCGGGTAATGCTATAGACAACTGCGTCGCGTTCTGTAGCTTGTGTACGCGTTCTTCT